TGGGGGAAATATGTCGGTATACTAACATGATTGGGTGCCAGTTTTGTCGTTGTGGAGTAGTTGTTGTGGGGTGACAGGGGAAGCATGTCGATATACTAGGAACATGGTTGGATGCCAGTTTTGTCGTTGTGAAGGTAGTAGCCGTTGTGGAGGGGGCGGAGAAGGTGACGGGGGAAGCATGTCGTTATATGCTAGGAACATGGTTCGGTGCCACTTTTGTCGTTGTGGAGGCGGAGGACAAGGTGACAGGGAAGCATGCCGATATACTAGGAACATGGTTGGGTGCCAATTTTGCCGCTGTGAAGGTAGTAGCTACTGCAAATGATGAAGATGTGAGGGAGATTTATTGGGGACCTTTATCGATTTCGCAATCTATCAGCTTTTGTTTATATTTTGATGATACTTTCTTCGGTTCAGTTGTTATTATTGATGATTTTGACACTTCCGGATATATGTACACTATTTGCATCGTTAATATTTTCCTACTGTAAGTATAAAACCACCTTAGTTTAATCTTTTCTGCTTTTATCCATTATTACTCAACTTGCTAGTGAGAAAGCTAGCTGGAGAAATTGGAAAATATACAATAGAAGCCATATTTTGAGTATAAGAACCTAGTTCCATTTGTGTTTTCGCAAGTCTGCTACTCTGCTTATAGGGTCGCCGGTTGGTTTAGGTCCTTGTTGCACTGTAGTTGTAGTATATCTTGAGTGTGGTCATAATACACGGTAGGTTTTTGAGAATGCACGGGCTTGCTTTCTCTCCAGGGTTCAGAAAAAAAAATTGATTTAGGTCCTCGTTGATTGACATGAAAATTTATAGAAGTAAGAAAAACATACCATTGCAATGTCACTTCTCAAATCATATAGGTTGAGGGCTCCTTTGATTCACAGGGTTTGAGAAGTGTAGGAATAGGGAACATACAGGAACAGGATGTACTGTCAACTGAAATCCTACGTCGGGTAGCAAAACAGAGGATTTTTTCCATGAAGTCCAACCTCATGCTTGTTTTCCTGTGAAAATGAACTAAGAAGTTCCTATAGGATTGGTTCCTGAGGAATGCAATCCAGTGAATCAAACAGCACGTAAAGGAAAACTTCTAGAGGGTGTCAATCCTGTAAAATTCCTATGCAAATCCTATGAATCAAAGGAGGCCTGAATATGATGTGTGATTACACCATAAATGGAAAACAAAAATACAAATCAAACAGTTCTTGTGTCTAGGGAACAAGTCGAAGATAAAAATACTCCTAAAGCGATTTCATGTTTGACCTGTGCCATTTGTTCCTCTGTTTCTCAATCCTAGCACTTAAAGACTACAGAATTCTAGGCTTGGTTCAGTCTTGGCTCCCCACAGCAACTAGCTAACTTAAATATTTCCAGTATCCATCAGTTCTTGTGGCTAGGGAACAAATCGAAGATAAAAATACTCCTAAAGCGATTTCATGTTTCTCAATCCTAACACTTAAAGACTATATGTTTCTCATTCCTAACACTTAAAGACTATAGAATTCTAGACTTGGTTCAGTCATGGCTCCCCACAGAAACTAGCTAGCTTAAATATTTCCAGTATCTATCAAGATGAAAATGTTTATGGACATTAAACTCGCAAAACTACATGTTTTGTTATTCATGATCATAGTAGCAACAGTAGCATTTTTCATTTACCTGGAGTTCATTTTTCGTATGATGCAGTGAAGGTGCTGGACTGGGGGCAGGAAGGTCAGGAGAGCTCATCGAAGCACCGGGAGGCCTTTGAGAAGGAGGTGGCCGTGTGGCAGAAGCTCGATCACCCCAATGTCACAAAGGTACCTGATTTGTACACATTAGATGCTAATACCTGATCAATTTGAAGCGAGCGACTCGGTGAAATTAACAATGAACTGTGTCATGTCTATTTGTGTGTAGTTCGTGGGGGCGTCGATGGGGACGTCCCAGCTGAAGATCCCGGCGGGGAAGAAGGGCGGCAGCAGCCACGGGCCAGGCCAGCGCTGTGTGGTGGTGGTGGAGTACCAGCACGGCGGCACCCTGAAGACGCTGCTGTTCCAGCACAGGGACAAGAAGCTGCCGTACAAGAAGGTGGTCCAGCTGGCGCTGGACATGGCGAGAGGGCTGAGCTACCTGCACTCTCAGAAGATCGTGCACCGGGACGTGAAGGCAGAGAACATGCTGCTGGACAGGAAGAAGTCGGTGAAGATCGCCGACTTTGGGGTGGCCCGTGTGGAGGCGCAGGACGACGACAACATGACGGGGCAGACGGGCACGCTGGGGTACATGGCCCCCGAGGTGCTGGAGGGGCGGCCGTACGACCACAAGTGCGACGTGTACAGCTTTGGCGTCCTGCTGTGGGAGACGTACTGCTGCGCCTTGGCCTACCCGAACTACAGCATCGCGGACATCTCGTACCATGTGGTGAAGCTGGGCATCCGGCCCGACATCCCGCGGTGCTGCCCCAAGCCGCTGTCGGAGATCATGACGCGTTGCTGGGATGGCAACCCGGACCACCGGCCGGAGATGGCCGAGGTGGTGGCGATGCTGGAGAGGATCGACACCACCAAGGGCAAGAGCATGACGCCCGCCGTCCCCGACCACACCTCGCAGGGCTGCAGCTGCTTCGGCTTCTCCAAGTAGTAGTAGTAGTCGTCGTCGTGTTGTGATGCTGGTCGGTCTGCTGCTGTTTTTTGTTTCCCGTTCAATGGTGCGGTCGTGCGTATCGGTGAACGCTTTGGTTGGTCGTCGCGGCGTCTCTGGTGGAAGAAGAATTGCGTAGGTTGCCTACTGCCTGCCGCTACTCGCTTGTGGTTGTGGGTGAGATGATGGTTTATTTTGCTTTGCATAAACACTGTGGTCGTCTTGTCTGCACCTGTTTGATGTTTTTTGGTTCAAAAACTTGTCATGCCGCTTCTCATCATCTGAACTTTTTTTAGCCAGTCACTCGTCAGCAAAATCTAGAATGAAATAGGCACAGGTTTCTAGATATGGTAACATTAAAACCTAGCCACTTATCCGCAAAGCTGCAATGTTGAATGGCGACATAGGGCGTGCCCAGCATGACAATGTGCTTTATTTCTGCTCTCACTTGGGCGTGTTGGTGCAGTTTTTCCCTTGTTCATCCACATTCTCCTGCGCTATTACTACATGACACTAATGCGAGTTTGTTAAGTGATGCTACTTACAAAGACTGAATGCACAACACTCAAGACTCTAATTCGAGAGTTGATAGCAGGCAGCGGAGCACGCAGTCAGATAAGAAACTACGCATAATATTAGTTTCATGGAAGGACCACCGGCCACACACTTAGATAAGTCTCACACGAGAAACGATTCTGAGTTCTGAACATGTTTTTTTTTCCTTTTTTGAGGGAAATTCTGAGTTGTGAACATAAAGACATGCGGAGTAGTCGACAGCAAACCCGAAAACTGATGTGCATCTT